CCCCCCCCGGGGGCCGGGCCCGGGCGGGTGGCCGATGCAGAGACGGCCCTGTGCGGAGCGACGCGTGTGGGGAAAAACATCCCTGGGTTTGGAAAATGCATTTCTGCTGCTCCGGTTTGTTGTTAGCCACGTGGAGCGTCCTGCCCGGGGATGGGCGGCGCTGCCGCCGGTGCGGAGCGAAGGCTGGGGTGTCACAAAGTGCCACACGTTCCCCCCGCAGGGACGCTCGCCCCAGACGCTTGCCCTGGAGCCCGTGGCTGGCCCACGGCGTCGCAGGAGGGGTGCTGCGAGGGTGCGGGGGGGGCTGCGGGAGGGAGCCCCGGCCAAGCTCCCTCAGGATTCGGCAGCGGCCAGGACATTCCCGTCACCAGGAGCTGGGACCGTGCCACGTGCCAGTCCCCACCTGCAGCCGCTCGTGCCCTGCGCGGCAGAGCAGGGCAGTTTGCCCGTCCCGGCTGTGGCTCACCTCTCCCAGCCAGGCTCCGGCTCCTGGTCGCGGTTTGGTGCTGGCACATCTCCGGAGTGGAGCCTTCCCACCAGCTGGGTCCTCGCGGTCCGCCCCGCCGCCCCAACCCCGCACCTTCCTGGCCGGGTACTCCCCGCCGCCTCTGTGTTGTCCCTCGGTTCCTCGCCACCGGCACCACGCCGGGACCTCTGCGCTGCCTGGCCCGGGGCTCTCTGCCTCGCCGCAGCGGGGTGCAGCCCCCCGCCTCGCCGCAGTCCCTCCTCTGCGCCGGAGCTGCCGCCGGTGGGGAAGCAGTCTCCACCCTCGAGCTTTGTGTTTTATTTTATCTTTATTTCGTGCGATTTCTGTGCCGGCGGGGGCTCTCTGTGCAGCCGGGGCGAGCCGCTGCCTCCCCCTCTTCACGCCCCTCTCCCCGGCAGCGTGGCCGCCCCTCTCCCCGGCAGCGTGGCGGTGCGGCTCCTTCCCCGCGAAACGCGGCGTGTGGCCAGCGGCTGCTGAGATCTGGCTCCGGTCTGGCATTCGCAGCCGTCATTCCCTGGGCGAGCAAGCACAGCAGAGGTTACCCCGCGCCGGCACCCGGCACGCCGGCCACATGGGGAAGGCGGGCGGGTTCACCGTGCCGGACCACAGCCGCACCAGCCAGGGCAGGGCAGGGCAGGGGGACGCGTGGGGATGCCCTGGGGAAACCTCCCTCCTCCTCCTCCGTGGTCTCTTGCCCTGGCCCAGGGGGTTTAAGCTGCGGCAGGAGGCTGCACCGCCGCGGCACGGGGCGAAGGGGAGGAAGGGCTCCCCAGGAACCACGTGGGCTGCGCAAGGCTCCCGCCGGCGCAGGGGACGGGAGGGCCCGAGGCTGCCGGTGCTGGCGGGATCGGCCTCGTGACCGTCAGGAGAAAAACCCCAGCAGGAGGCCGAGGGGTGAGAAGCGGGC